TGGCTAAAACCAGCTTCAGCCATGTATGAAGTTGGGAATGCAAGTAAGAAAGGTTCGGCTTCTGCTCTGAGCTTGGGATATTTAGTAGCAATATTGTTATTGCTCCAAAATTCACTGAGTTTTTTATTTTTAAACAACGCTTTAGCTTCGAGATCTACACACATTTCACTCAATTCATCTTCTAAGCCAGGTTCACTACCTTCATTATCTATTTTTACATCAAATGGATTAGCAAACCATTATCGGAAACATGCATATTCTCCAATTCTTCGAAACGTGCTTTAAAGTCTTCTCTTAATTTATCAAGATGTTTAACCGGTTGGAAACTTTTTCATTTTCTTTTAGTACTCGCAAGTTTGAAAAATATTTAAAATCGGATCGTGCCAGTGAAGATTTAAATTGCTCCATTTTTACTTGAAAGGTTATTTTTTCTTGCAAACGCTTCTATACTATATTAATGATTTTCGATATATTTCGATATTTTCTCTGTAAAGGACAAAATATCTACATTTAGATATAAAATACTTAGAGTGACAACCCAACTAGAGTGAACGTATGTCTGTGTATAATGAACTACCAGCGTTCATAACATGTTTGCAACACTAGTACAGTTGCCAGATGCGTGAAAACAGAGTAACACAAGCTTAAAGCGGTGTAGGCTAAGGCAAAACTCAAGTTATAACTAGGGTAGTCAGTAGTGTTGTTGATCATATCGTATTTCGAATTTTTATTGGAATATTCTATTTTTTTCCTAGACAAGTTAATTGATCCTCTTTGGTATTAATCGACCCCCTTTCGACCCTCGTGTATTAATCGACCCCTGGAGAACTTTTATCGACCCCTTGGGGTCGATATCGACCACTTTGGGGACCCTTAGTCTAAAGGTAGTCCTTGATGCTTGGAGCACAAACTTCAAACAGCCATTTTTTGAAAAGAGCCTGCATGACCTTTTATTCAATCTCCACATCACTGGCAGTTTTTCTTTAATTATGGAATTTTTTTCTAATGCTCTAGGGTTCTCAGAGTGATAGACAAGAAGCGGGATAAGCTTCATATCACTGCTAGCATTAGCTTTGTTTTCTCCACGGGCCGAACAACAGATCTATACAAACGGATCCCAACCATTAAAATGGGACAGGAGAATGTCAAAGTAGAGAAGCAGCTCAGATACTTGGGCATTATTTTAGATAACAGGTTAACTTGGCTTCCTAATGCAATCTATATACGGAACAAATGTACAACAATGTTTAACGCACTGGCGAGAGTAGCCAAGTCTAACTGGGGACTCGGTCAGGATGCACTCGAAGTTATTTATAAGGGAGCCTTCATTCCACGGGCGACCTACGGAGCAATCGCATGGCACACGGCAACAGAGAAGAAATGCATACAAAACAAATTGAATAGTATGCAGAGGTGCGCCCTCCTACGGTTGACGAAAGCATATTGTACGGTGTCAACGGAGGCGCTGCAGGTGCTTGCAGGCACTCCTCCTATAGATCTTATAGTAAAAGAAAAAGCTGCTCAATATAAGTGCAGAAGGGGTGTAAGGATTACAGTGGAAGGACAGGAAATAGCTGGGCCAGAAGTTGACCTGAAACCATCAATGATTGAACTTCCTGAACCATACTACCGACAAAAGATTCAAACTGCCCATGAAGAGGAGCGAGGTGAGGTGGAGGTGTTTACAGATGGCTCCAAAGTAGACGGGAAGGTTGGAGCGGCCTTTGTTGTTATTAACAACGAGAACAAAGTTTATGAAGATAAAATCAGACTAAGCGATAGTTGTTTGGTGTTTCAGGCCGAATTAAAAGCAATAGAGATGGCCGTTGAATGGATCTCAGTTAATTGTGAATCGAACAAGGTATTGATAAACACAGACAGTAGATCGGCAATTCATGCACTCCAGAGGTTTCAAGATACCAGTTTAACTGCAGTCAACATAAAAACTACTATACGGAAATATAAACTTAATATAAAATTTCGTTGGGTGAAAGCCCACTCGGGCATTGTTGGGAATGAAATTGCGGATCGGGCAGCTAAGGAGGCTGCCCATCTAGCGGATATAACTTATAGCAAACTCCCTCTCTCGGGAGTAAAATATAAACTTAGAAGTGTCACCATTTCGGAATGGCAAGACAGGTGGACTAACTCCAGCAAAGGGAGACATACATTTTGGTTGTTACCGAATCTCGAAGAACGAGTTAAAGACTTACACTGGATTCCTATAAACCACATTACTAGCCAAGTATTAACTGGCCACGGTAATTGCAACGCATACTTACAGCGTATTGGTAAAAAACAGAACAGTAGTTGCGTTTGTGGCGAAGAGTTACAAGACATGGATCATCTGTTAAGTAAATGTTACAGATATGAACAACAGAGAGTTGAGCTCTCAGCGATCCATCAACTAAGCAGCACTAACTCTAATCTGGACTTATATCTAATGATACGAGATAAAAATCTTACTTGCGATCTATTCTCCTTCTTTAGAAGGATATTGATGTAAAGGTTGGGGAAAGTGTACCCCAAGCCTACTGCACCGGAAAGCTTCCGGTGGCCTCTGTAAGGCGAGCAAGAGCGCGCCAATAGTTTAATGTTAATTTTATNTGGATATTGTGCTGCCAGTAACATGTGAGACTCCTACGAACTCTTTCTACATGAAATTACTGTAAGCAGCAACTACACATGAAGACCTGCAAAGTAACTCTTATAGTTTATTAGTGTTAATTATTCTAAGCTTTATTTTGTTTAGACTACAGTATTATATCATCATATATATTTTTATGTGAAACTTATATTAATATCTACTGCAACAATATATATTATACATTACATATTTCTGTTAATTGACTATTACTTATTATGTTTAATTTTAAGTTATTAATCTAGCTTATTATTTATAATGCAGATATTCAATGTCATCTGTCATACATGTAAATGTTACGATATTAATTTATGGTATATATCTTATGTAAATACATTGAAGCACATTACTTTATATTCCTGTGTTCAACCTTAAACATGTATAAACTGGTTATGTTATTGCAGTACCAGTGATGCAATATTGTTGCATTAATAAAGAGATTGTGTGTGTGTGTGTGCTAGCATTAGCTTTGCCCTCATAATACTATGTAAACCATTATAATTGTCAGTTGTCTACTTTATTTTATTTTTCTTTGCTCAACATAAACAGTATATTTGTATATGTATACTTATGTCAATAATTGTAAAATATGACTGACTGTCCAACTATTGTATTGTTATTACTACATTTATATATTTTTTACAAATAATTGTAAGCAGATTATGCTACTGCGGAATCTGCAATGTAACCTATGTTATGAAATAAAAAGATTTGTGTGTGTGCTAGCATTAGCTCCCAAAAGTAATGTCAATCAGTCTTTCATGGGCCCAGGAATATTTCTCTCTTCTTTCATAATGTAGGTATGGTTCGGCATGTGCTTCCAATACAAACAAGTTTCATCACAATTGAAAATTTGTTGTGGACAATATCCTTCTTTTTTAATGAATTCTTCAAATTTGAGACAGAACTTCTCAGCTTCTTCTTTATCTGCACTAGTAGACTCAATGTGAATTACCACATGTTTAATGCCAGTTCTCTTTCTAAACTTTGAAAACCATCCAGTAGCAGCTTTGAATTCTATCTCCTCGTGTGACGAATGTGGAGTTTGTTTCTTCAGTTCTTCAAAAATTTCTCTAGCTTTCTCTTGAATGATAGTCATACTAGTTACATTTTTTTCATTTCTCTTTCTTTTATCCAAATTAAAAGCAATCTCTCCATTGTTTCATGGATGGAACATCTTTGTTTCTCAGATGTGATTTTTGTTACTCCTTTAGCTCTGAGTCTTCTTGATTATATCTTTCTTAGCTAAGATTGTGCTTACTGTAGACCTGTTCAAGCCATACTGCCTAGCAACATCAGACATCTTCTGTCCACTCTCTACTTTGGCTATTATCTCTTGCTTGGTTTCTATGGTGAGCATGGTTCTTGACACTCCACTCTTTTTATGCTCCATAATATTATCAATTTCTGTTTGAAATAAAAAGTTCAGAAAAGCACTCATAAAAATTCACAGAACAGAAATCAACTAGCGTATGAAAGAATTATGTAAATGTGAGGCCTGAATGTAATTTGAAATTTTGGTGTTAAAGCGTTAATGAATACTAGATAGGACAGTTAAACTCTCACCTATAGAAAATAAAAACTGACGCAAAACTAATGGAGTGCCTGACAGTCTCACGAAGACTATAAAAAAATTACTTGTCAGAAAAGTAAACAAAAAGCTGAAATTACAATGGAGAGTTTCAAAGTTTGGGGAAAGACTATCCAATCAGTATCAGGTTGAGCGTTGATGTTGACGTCTCCCGCACTCTGAAAGGTTTTGAATTGTTACCTGAAGACAAGGGAAAATCAATCAGTATTTGTTATTTTCCGTCACTTCTTTTTATGTTTGTTCAGTGAAGTGTTTGTTATCCGATCATGTGTTCATTGCCCAATCATAAAAATCTTTCACGAAAGTGTTCATTATCCGATTTGTTCGTTAATTGATCCCCCACTGTATTTCCGTTTTCTCTTTTCATCCTGTGAGCACTAAGAGGATTTCTTTTCAAACCTATCATGGGTTCCAGCTAAGCCCACAATACAGGTAACTGGGTTGTAAGAGATAGGACCTAATTTATCTGGGACAGAATTCCCATGAAAAACTCCTGTGATTTGTTGTCTGGATTTTGATTCCAGGTCCTCCAGAACAGTAGGCTGACAGCTGATAACAACAGTAATATTAGAGTAGGCTATTTATCAACTTGCATGTAATATATACAAAAGTTTAATACTGCATCATCCATTCATTATATTACAGAAATAAATGCATAAACATGGATAAAGTTAATAAATAAGTTTATTTCTAATGTAGTGTATATATAAATGTATTTTAATAAAGTATTAATAAATGGATAATGTTAAATTTATAAACTCTTGATAGTGATTATAAAATTAATTCTTTACACTTAATGTGTACAATTTTTTGATTATGTAAATTTTACTTTAATGATTAGAAATGTTTCTTACCATCTTCTGCTTCTACACTTGGCAATATATAATAACAAAGATTAACTTTTAACATACTGTTTTGGGAAATGCAAGCATCAATATAGGCAGGATGAAATACTGTTAACTCTTCATCTTTATAACTATCGAGTTGATATAGCCTAAAAAATTTGAAAAATTATTTTTAAATAATTTTCATTCAATCAAAATACAATTATCATAGAATAATTACTCCAATAATCATTAGATTTGCCTACCTATTATCTAAAGTTATGAATTAATATGTAATTAATCCAATTCTAATCCAGTAATTTTCAAAAAATTGATAACAGTTTAATAATGGATAAATATATTATATAGAAAAATGTAAACTAAGCTGTATGCATACTGAATTTATATTTATATTATTTTGCTATTGGATAATATAATTAAATTATGTTTCTGGAAGACAACAATGAAAATTACATTCATTCAAGTGATTTTTAATGTATGTACTGTACATCTTCCTCTAAAGTATTTGAGTGGATATGATGTATGTTTTTTGAGAAAAAGTAACTTACTCAAAATATATATTTGAATAGTTTTTGTGACAATAAGTGACATATTAGCATAAGCATAGTAATGCTGTTTAATAAACACAGAACAACAGTCTTGTAACAGAATAAAATTAAAATATAACTAAGTGTTTATAGAAAACATTTCTGTATGTTTAAGCACTAATTTAATGGAATTTAATTTGATTCCAACTTGAAATAAAAACATTGGAGAATATTTTATTTCCAAACAAGTATCAAGTGTTTATTTTATTCATTTAATACAGAGATAACCTTTTTAATGAACAAACATAAATTAAAAAATTAAATATTTGATTATAATTATTTGCATTTTGTCCTATATTGTAATAAATCTTCTTAATAACTATATGTAATTTGCAATAAATTTCAAGGATTTATGACATCACAGTTTTCAATTTGAAAGCTCACAGAGATTTTATTAACCAATATGTATGTTTCGGACCATAACCCTTCCTCAGTTGGTTATAATTAGAGTATTTTTGTATTTGCCAATTTGTATTTGACATTAAATTTTAATGAAGATGTTTTAAATTTTTTGTCAGAAAGACTAGGAGGATACCAATTAATTTTTTACCTTCATGAATTTATATATTATTTTAAAAACCAAAGAAATAAGCAAATTTTAATTCATTGTTTATATTAAATTTTCATTCAAAAAAAAGAACACTATATGAGGTGGCACTGCCAAAAAGAAAATATCCCACAATATTAGTCATTGATATAGTCTCTAATCTGTGTAGTCAACCTCACACCCTACATTTCCTACCTTCAATTTTTATAGTGTCCCAGGTTGAAGTTCAGAAAATATGGTCACTTTATGTTAACTTCATTTGAAACCAAATTTACCTTTTCTGAAAATAATTTACTTCTGAAATTGAATTGATAAGGTATAATGCAAGAAAAGAAAATGCTCCTATCAATACATTCTTCAACTCTTCTGTTGTCTGATTTTCTCCTTGAAAAAGTCATAGGTGCTTGGACAAACTTCCCAAACAGATGGATTGGTTAAGGATCTAAAGTATCCTCAGCACCTCTTCCATAGCAACTAGAGTCCTGACCTTACAATCCCAAATAATACCTTGTGGGCTTCATCAGGGACAAAGTCAGTTAACAGCACTACCAGACAACAGATGAGATGAAGAATGCAATTATAGGAACATTTTCCTTTCTTATAGATTATTTCTGCTAAACATTTTGGCAAACTTAGCACTGTATCAGACTCTGCCATGATTACAAAGGAGCTCATATTGATGTTCTTACGTACGTGTCCTTTATAAGAACAAAAAAAAAAAACAGGGATAACATGACTTCTCAGACACCTTGTATATACTGTGTGTATATATATATGTATATTCGATTTTATATATATATATATATATATACACAGTTTAATTCGATTATAATGTCATCCATGGGACAGGCAATTTTTTGACGTTAGAACTGAGTGTCATTATCTACAGGGGTCATAATTTCAGTCTCATAAAAAGTACCAAGTGGGTTTAAGAATCTATTATAAAATCCATTCTAATTTAACATCATATGTATTACCATAAAATTACTGTATTTCTTCATGGTAATACAGTATACTGTATCTATTACGGTAATAATAATTTATTATTGTATGTATAAAAGTGCAAACTAAATGTTTAAATCTACTTTATTTACAATATTATGTTTAAGTTTACAACAATGTAATTAAAAATTTCAAAAATTACCTTTTATAAGAAATTTTTATTTGTCTCAAGTTTTGATAATGGTGGCACTTCTGGTTTTGAAAATAATATTGAATCAAAAGGCAACAAAAGGTTAAATTAATGTATGCCAATTAAAAAGACACAGTAACAATATTCACTTCAAAAAAGGTCAGTTATTTTAGATTGTAGGCATTTTTCACCTAAAAATTGTTTATCAATGTCATTTTCTAAATCATAGACTTTGTTCATTATTTCTGATGAAGTTTTCCGAGACCTGTAAAACATTACGCACTTCCCTGGTTGACAGCACTGCATTTTCTCTGTCTGATGTTTCATCTTCATTATCATCATCCACATTTTTTTTGTCTGAAGATTTAATTTGCTGAACAATATCTGCATCTGTATAAAATTTGGATGTTATTAAATCTTCATCTACACTCTTATATTTAGTAGCAGCAAATGACAAAAATTTGCTGTTTTCTGAACTTTGAAGTGTTTTAATTAATTCTGATAGAGGAATGTCATCGTCCTCATTATTGTCATCGTCCTCATTATTGTCATCATTCATAAATGTAATAGCTGTTTGACTATTATACAATTTTGCATGGCAAAAACAGTTTGCTATTATTAGCGAACTAACCTTACACCAAGATTTTTCCAAAAAATCAACTGCATCTAATAAAGAAATTGCCATTTTATTGTTATCTTCCATATTTGTAATAATTTTTTGTAAAAGAATTTTTCTGAAATGAGATTTAAGGCTTCTTATAATTCCTTGATCCATTGGCTGAAGTACACTAGTATAATTTGAAGGAAGGAGTACAAGTTTAATGCTCTTTAAATTTTCTAAAATTGAATGTGCTGGACAATTATCTACAAGGAGTAAAACTTTTTTTGTTTACCAATAAGTTCTCTATCCCATTTTCAAATTTCTTCTTCAAAATTCTCAAACATCATCCATGACCTTTTGTTGGCTTTGTAATTTACTGCTAGTGTTTTTATGTTTTTAAAACTTCTTGGATTCTTTGATTTTCCGATTACAAGAAATTTTCTTTTGTCTGTACCAGTCATATTAGCACAAACAAAAACTTTTATCCTATCTTTTGCAAGTTTTCCAACAACACATTTTTCATTTTTAAATTTAAATGTTTTATCTGGTGAAAGTTTGTAAAATATCCTGGTTTCATCTGCATATTCCCCCCTTAATTTAGGCCAACACATCTCTTAACTAGTTTTCAACATCCAATAAATTTACACTTTTTACTTCTCCACACACTTTCCCAATCATTTTCTTTCTGAACATTTTATTGCAAGGATTTTTGAAGATGTGGAGGAAATGAAAAAATTGTAGGAACAGAATTTGGTTGTAAATATCTTCTACCATTATTATAACTGAAGCATGCTTTTTCAAAATGAGATAAATAAATTCTACTATTATTGTTTGGTTTCCAACGATGGCATCACATTAGTATAAGCCATTTCTTAAGAAGAGATTCATCAGTGAGTGGAAACCTGACAAAGAAAAAGTTTTATTTTAAATTTCACTATCACAAGAATGGAATCTGATTTACTTATCACTGTTATTAATTTAATTAACCACTCTAAAATTCATAATTTGATATGTATAAGGCTTCTATCCAAAATATTTCTAATTATTTAAATTTTTATAAATTAGACAGCATTTCAAAGTAAGTTTGACACTTTTCGTTTACTTTTATTAAATTAATCTTTAAACATTTTATTAGACATAGAAAAGTACAGTGTGAGCAAAATTAATAATTATAACTTACTTGCGAAATGAAATTCCTGAACCTTTCTTGTAACTGTTGGTATAATTGATAGCAGCACAAAAATGTGAAATAATCATCTCTTTTGGTACACTTCACTTTCAACCCTCTGAAACCTCTTGAATCAGCTTCAAAAAGTGGCACTGTAATCACTGCTACTGGCACTATGTTATTCTATCTCATTGGTGCCAATCAACATTATAATGTAATTAAGGAATTTGTCAACTTAATTACATCTTGTTCTCTGTTTAACCCTAAAATTACTGAAAAATTTTTAAAACTATTGAATAAATTACATATTTACCAAGCTGTATCATCACAATTAGCATTTGCACTGAACAAGAAATCAGCTGAATATTTATCAGTTATCTTTCCTCCATATGATGCTAAAGAGAGAAAAAAATATTACTTTCAATCAAAACTTAAAATTATAAGTAAACTATGTTTTAAAATTACATTCTCAATTATACTCAAGTTTATTTATTAAAAATCTTTTAAGTAAGTGGAAATCCTCTATTTAAAAACAAACAAGTTTTCCTAGTTAAAATCATCCATGTAATCTATATTGAAACCATCCAGTTAAAGAAAATTGCATTTTGAATGTTTCTCCAAAGTTTTTTAGAACATTCCTCTTCAGTTTCTCCAGTGTATTAAAATTTTTTACATAAATAATTAAAACACTCACTTTTAAAATCACAAACATCCACGTCATCGACAGATTAATCTTCATAATCGGTATATCTTTTTATATGCTCGAGAACTTCTTTAATAAATAAACTCGAGTATAATCGAGAGCATAATTTTAATTATAAATAAGAATATCACTGCAACAAAGATTAGAAATTATGTTTTATTAGAATGAAAATTTTGAAATTTTTCAAATTCAAATGGCTCAGAAGTGTTTTTATTTCAAGATTTTAATTCTAAGATAGCATAATTTTCTTATAATATGTATTAAATTTTTAATAATTGTACACATTTTAAAAAAAAACTCTTCAAAACATCCATGTTTATAGGTTTTCAAGACAAGGTACAAAAGTTGTTTGCTATTGCTTTCTTCAAGAAAACAACAGTACAGGATACTATAGACCAGTGTTTCCCAACCTTTTTTGTACTATGCCCCACCTAAGCTTTCTAAATTCTAAATTCCCCCTAACATACACAACAGCTATACAGTTAAGTTGAGACTCTGGACAAGTCCATTTTCGAATTGCCCCACGTTGGGAAACACTGCTATAGACTATAAAAAGAACAAAGTATTCAATGAAAAAGTAAAAATAGATACACTAATAAAATGGGTTAACGGGGAACGCCAGTCATAACTTTAATTCGACGAACGATACCGTAATCTGTGCTGCTCCACTAAGACTATTGTGTTTAACTATCTAGCCCATGTGACTATGCCAACTTTGTTTGTTTCCTTTTACTTTTTTGCTCATATTGGAGGTGTAAACAATTCTGGAACCTTTCATTCAGATCTTCAATCGGTTAAAGTCCAGATGCGTGTACCGTCATGGCGGTTCATCTCTGATTCCGGCAAACAAAAGAAAGGAAACAGTGGGGACGCACGTTCTAACTTAACCTATTCTAATAAATTACCATAATTATTACCAACCAAATTATTAGAATAGGTTAGGTTAGGTTAGAACGTGCGTCCCCTCATTTGCTGGAATCAGAGATGAGCCGCCATGAGGTATACGTATCTGGACTTTAACCCTTCAATCTTATCCATTGCCGTACAGTACATATCAACTGGCGTTCCGTTAACAGAAAAGTACGCTAAAACGTATCTGTATTCATAATGGCATCAATTAATTTTAATGAGCTTACTCCACTTATTAATTCTGTCAGGTTTCGTAGATATGGAAAACCATGCGGTCTTTCCATCAAATAAACTTTTACGTTCGTTCATTACGTTGTTACATTAAGTGACGTGTTATTTGATCGGGACGGTTTGACTATTTAATTTAAAAAATACTTCCGTTATTATTATACACCGTTACCAATTAGCTCAGATTTTCTGTAGGATTCTGCCGCCGTCGTACTTATTTGTAAACACACTCCCACATGCAAATATTGAAAATGAATTACTTGCCCTCTGGTGTCATTTTAATGACTATTTTAAAAAATTATATATTTTTCAAATACACATTTTCATCTGTGAAAAATATGTAAACTTCAAAGAAATTAGTAATACGATTTCTTGACGCGAGATACTCTATTCATATTTTCATTGTTTCCGCTCTGTGCGCGCTAAGGTAGGTTGATATTTCGTTGACATATCTATCGACTCTACAGTAGTACCGTTCTGAATGGGACATTGTACTAACAGACTGCTAATAACTAAGATCTATATTTCTTCGTGGAATTTTAACAAGAGAGGGTCTTTGTTTTATCAGCTGCGGCTCCCCTTCCTGTTTGGCATCGAGAAATTACGGTCAGCCTAGACTAAGAGGACCTTTTTTCGTGCCTATTTTGGCTTCGGCCGATGGGGTGAAGGAAGGACATTGACAAGTCCAGACGGATCACCACCGAAAAATTTTTTGGGGTTTTTCGATCCGTCCGGATTTCTTCCCGGGTCTTCCAGACTTGTAGACTGCCACTTTAACCGATCTGCCATCTGGTTCGGAGAGGATGCCGGGTGGTAAGGAACCAATCTAATAGAGGTAATTTTTCGGAGTTGTCTATCCCAACTCCAAATTTTCTGTATTAGCTTGGTTCAGGATATCCCATAAAAATAGACTGACGGTGGGCTGCTTCTGATTTTCGCTTAATTTTATGCTTAAATCTATTTTCTACGCGTATTGAGAAAGCATTTAAATTATTTTTGACTGTTTTAAATTTTAATTATTTTTTGCTTTGCGAGCCTTTTGACGGGCTTTTTAATCGTGGCTTCGGTCAGGTCCACAATATATAACCATTTGAACTCTCTCGGAAAATCAGGAAATTGTCTTAATTAATCGTCCGACCGTTGCAACTCAGATAACATTTAATAAAGAGATATTTTTAATAATGGGTTAAAATCAGCTCTTTCGAAGTTCTATTGAACATATTATTATTTTAAGTGCAATTTTTTACAGATGCAAAAAAGTACACATTTTATCACTTTTAATACTGATTAACAAACATATGGGATGCTGAAATAGCAAAAATGCCGTGGAAGTAATACATAATATTATTTGTAGAGTATGTATCACATATGTTTTCCAATTATTTCACAAAACAATGATAAAAATATGATTAGGAGTGACGACAGTGATTCCCCGCCAAGTAGAAAAAGTCACTGACTGACTACATATACTTGAATCAGATTTTCGGGGGTGGATTTTTCTGCCCCCAAACACCTGAAGTAACTCCGAATATCTTGTTCGAAAGAAAATTATTTTCTTAGCTAGTATGCAAAATTTCGAGATTTTCTGTAAAACTATTTTCTTCTCCTCCTTTTTCTTCATCCGGCACTGCGGACGCTCTTAGAGAAAAAAACTGCTGGGTCTAGAAAGCTCAAATTTTAAACTTAAGTCTTCCTCGTTATCAGTGAGGTGCTTCTGAGTCTATAGGTCAAAGCTCACGGGGGTTTCTCATAAGGCTACTTCAGTTTTACGGCTTAATTTTAAAAATTGCATGGAAACAAATGAATTTTATTGAAAATATTACTCAGAATTACAAAAGCTCAAATTTATGCTAATTAAAACTTTTTATAAGAATTTTTCTAAACGGCATATCGAAAGCGTTGGTCGACGGTGCGTTCAGTTGCCAAGCACCGACCAAATTAAACAGTACGTCATCGTCTTATGTCTTGACGTAATAATATAATTATTAAGCAAAAACAATTGATATAAAAAAAACATCTGGTATATATAAAAATTACTCTAAGTAAAAAGTTACGACAAAAATTTAGACAACGGTCAGCATTTTTCTTGGGTAAAGAAAACTTGTGGGTGCCGCTTCCACAAGATTTTTATCCATATCATTAGAAAGGTTGCGGCCGAAGTTTTAATCTCTAAAACCTGAACGTCAAACGTTGAGCGCCGCCATCTTGTAAGCCTAGAAGTTTGACAATGGCGTTTGGAACGTCGAGTATGATTCCGATGACGTTGCAAACGCCATTGTCAAACTTCTAGGCTTACAAGATGGCGGCGCTCAACGTTTGACGTTCACGTTTTAGAGATTAAAACTTCGGCCGCAACCTCTCTAATAAATACACGTAAGCCAATTTAATTGTCGGATATACATTAGTCTATATACGAGTAATGCAATTAAGTGCTTCTGCAGGAGAGAGAGCGAAAGCCAGTGAGCCAAAGTCACGTGGCATCTGCTGCCAATTACCGTGATTCATTCCTATTTCCAAGCGCATGTCAGAAGCACTATTGAATAGAAGGACAGATAGACTAGTAATAGGAACACGAGGCCAGAGTGCTTTCATTGATCGAGGGCTTCTTCTTCTGGTCGTGTATCGGGCTGTCTGGAGACGCCTGTATAAAAAGACCTCTGGGCCATGTTCATTAACGCAGAATTACTATGCTTAGTGACGTTATTCCGTCTATTCGTATTGTTTGAAGAATTTTACGCTTACCACAGTAATATAAATTGTTGATCGTGCTGAATTAATTAATTAACATAAAAAAACTAATACCCATTTAAATGAATGGAAGCAATTATAATTTTTTATTTAATTAAAAATCATAACATTTTCTGTTAAAATGTATTAATTTATAACTTTAAAGTTATAATTAGATTTATTTAACGGAATGAAGCAATGAAGGGTGGAGTTAACTTAAGTAACCGATTGGCTAATTAAAATTCAATTCTTTGACTGACACATCGTACCTAGACCAGGTTTGAATAATTCCTGCCATTTCCCCCTCCCAAACTTATTTATCGTTTAAGATTCAAGAACACATATTTTACGTTCAGTGTGTTCTTGAACGTAAAACGAGAAAGAATCAGCGAAAATTTGTTACAAATCTTCACAGAGAAGTTAATAAAACTGATATACTGTAGTTATTATTCTTAAATATTAATAACACGATAAACCATTTTAATGTAATAAAACATCTTATTTTTAATTTTAACAAGCAATTATTAATCCTTAAATATGTGAGAGTAAATATAACATTAATTACATAAAAGGAAATCACAGCAGAATTAATTTGTAAATCAAATAATTTTATTAATAAAACAATTTATCACTTATTATTTATATTTATTTAAATGTTTCTAAATTTTTTTTATTTACAGAAAAATAAATGGAACAACATATTCTTGACCCAAGGTCTTCAAATAGTCTATATTAACTCATTTTTTTTTTTTTCTAATTCCTGAAAAAGCTACCCTAAAATTTTAAATGTGTTCTGTATTTTAAAACAGATCATAGATGATTTATTATATTACAAGTTGATAGGCCAGTTTATGAGAAGTTTGGAAATTCTGTCCTATATTTGTAGATATTCAACAATGTTTAACAAAGATGGAAAACATGAATTCCATGTCCTGAAATTAATCAGATAGCATACACCACTACTCGATATCCATTTATTAATATTAGAGTATAACTTTACATCAAATTTCACATTGTGTTGGATATAGTCTTATATTATGTTTTATTAATAATCTATTAAATAATTACGAATATCATATTTTATATCAAATCTGAATTGAAATTGTTTTTGAAAAACTTTTCTGAAATTTAATTTGTTTATAACAAGTCTGACTCTTGTTTAGACATAAGAATTACATATATACATTTAAATATTTACATAACAAAATTTATATTCAATAATCTAAATATATAAAATTACTTGTCCTGACTGACTGACTGATTCAACATCGCCCAGAGCGAACCGCTGAACCTTAAGGTGAAATTTGGTAAACAGTTAGGGTACTTCATGAAAACGTACATGCCTTAAAAATCATTATATTAAATAAAAAGATTTAAATATTTTACATGATAAAACTTTTCTTACTATAGCTAAATACGTCACTAAAATTGCAAGGTGGCTCGTTTCTCCATTTGATAATTTCGTTCCCGAAGCTTTGTTGACCGGTTGCCACACCCCCTTGTTTTCGTTTAGGTTGTAAAACGACCGAGGGTTATATAGGTCAGTGAAGGTCAGTTATACTATATTATTTTAAAAATTCGCCAAAAATTAAATTATCATTATATTCACATGAAAAAAATCACATATATTTATCAATATATGTTATTTATAATACGATAGTTTTTAATAAATTTCATTTAAAAAATTCTTTGTAAAAAAAATATAATTTATCATAATTAACATCAAAATTAACGTTATCTGGTAACTTAGTTTTCTGTTGGTACTAAGCCAGATGGACATAGAATATTGTTTTGTACAACTCTTTGTAATTTTTATGCACGTGCGTTTTTTTGTTTTGAAATTATCACACATTATATCAAAAATTAGGTTGAAATTAAATCTTATATTTTGCTATATAGATATTTTACGTGTAATGTATTCTAAACAAAAATTAAAACATTTCTGACAACGAACATATGATGATGATGAAACGTACAAGTGATAATCGTTTATTTTTTCATAAAATTTTTAAAAAGTTGAGAAAAAACACATCTTTAATGCTGCTAGGATAAAATCTGTAAAAGAAAGTTTACTTTTTTTATTTACTGCATGATGATAATCAATATAAATCTAACATAAAACTCGATCACATACCTTACTAATAATTACAAAAAAATAAAATAATAGAAAAAAATGCATCTTTGATGCCGCCCGCTAGGATAAAATCTGTAAAAGAGAGAGTTTAATTTTTTTTTATTTACTGCAAGATGATAATCTATATAAATATAACGTAAATGTTTTATCAAAATTATATCACGTACCTATCCTGTCAACAAAAATGTTTTGGGTAGCATTCTGGATGCAACCCTTTGCTGCAACGAGTGCATATTGTTCGTGATCGCCTCCGCATCCCCATGCTCGTGCAAACGCAGCACCTAGATACTCTTTTTTCCGGTAACTTCCTGAGTTCCCTGGGCCCTTGAGGATCTTCAGGACGTTTTTTTGTGGCCAGCCATTCCCCCTCCAAGCTCTCTATGATCGAAACGTAGAAGGCGTACCTCGATTTCAGTTTACCTGGGCCTTGATAATTTTCTTTGTACAGTATATACGAGTTCAACACCATCCTACCTATGATGTTGAACCCAACTTTTTTCCAGTACTTCAGGGTCTTTCTCTCATCCAAATACGCATATAACATCATGTCTGACGTATCGACCCCACCCATAAATTTATTATATTGCAACACTATTTGTGGCTTCGACTTAGTCTCATTTCGCCTGATAATTTCTTCTTCACGCGCCCTCGCATGGCTGGATAGTAGCAAGACCTGAGTTTTTTGTGAAGCTTTCTCTCGAAAGCCACAGGCTAACAATGGGCCAGATCTAAAATAGGACCTTTGGCCAACGGTAAACTTTGAGAATTTTAGTGGGGCAGGTAAATATTTTTGGTTCTTTCGAACAGTGCCAGTAATATAGGTACCCATTGTATATAAATATCTTACAAGAGGAACCGACATAAAGAAATTGTCTACAAAGAGATGATAGCCTTTTTTGAGGTACGACCCCGTCTCAAGCAGCTTTATTACGACGCTGTACCCTAGACCAAATTTAGAATTGTTGTCCTTTTCCTGCTTAGTCCTGGCCCCTTTATAAGTGAAAAAACTCAAGCAGTACTTAGAGACTGAGTCACACAGCATCCAAAATTTTATGCCCCACTGATGATGATGTTTTTTTGGAAGGTACTGCATGAGCGAGGTTTTATTTTTCGTACCAACAAGGCTCTCATCCACACAAATTTGCTGGTGTGGTGTGTAGTGATGCCGGAACACTCTGTTAGCATGATCTACCAGAGGTTGATATTTTGCACAAGGATCGTATCCTTGTTCCCCTGGGTTGGATAACTTAGTGTTATCGACGAGATGGAAAAATCGCAACAAGTGATAAAAGCGGGTTCTTGGAAACATTTTCCCAAACCACTCCGTGGTTTGGGAGGAAGAAGTGGACCAGTAGGATGCTATATATGGCTTTTTGATTAGACCCATGTTCAATATACATGCGAGAAACCCCCTTATTTCAACAACCGAAATTTTGGACCAGTTCTTCAGAGAGGGCGGTACATTATTCCCCATGCCATTTATCACTTGTTGAGCGTAACGATTTGATTCCGTTACGATTAGATTGAGCAAAGTAACGGTGAAAAAAAGGTTGAAATACGCAATCGGTGGCGAATCTGGCGGTGGCACGTGCTTAGGGCCAGGTAGCTCAAGAAAAGAATAAGGAAGAGAAGTAGGTTGCTCGGGAGATAGAACCTCCTGATAGTCTTCATCATCATCGTCATCATTTATTGATTGCGTAGTAAATTGATTAGAAGAGGAGCTTGGAGGGGCCAAATCATCTTCTGAATCATCATCTGACCCTTCGAGCATATTGAAATCAGGGTCAGAGTCAGACTCTGAAATTGTATCAGAAAAATTGTCCATATAGTCTTGCAGATCTGACTCCTCTATCATCTTCGATATTTTAGATGATGATGCCATTTTATAATAATAAAATCGTTCGTAAAATCGATAAATCTAATTAAAAAAATAAACTATATGTAACGATATGTTACAATATAAAGCTAAAACTATAATAAATACAATTACAATAACTAAATCAAAGATCTAAAATAAAACAATTACAAATAATTTATTGAAATATCATTTGATATAAGATCGAAATTTTTTATTATATATTACGAAAATTATATTGTATATACCTTAAAAATGTTAAAGTACTATATTTTATATATAAAACTATATAAATAATAAAAGAAATATTGAATACAAATAACAAAGAAAATATATAAAACCTTACCTGTAAAACACACAAAGGAAACTTTCAGCAAACAAGCTAAAGTGAATTTCAAAAATTCCCACTAACGGTTTTATAGGTCAACAAGACGACACCTGGACGCAAATATGTGAAACACACGATATAGAAGACGTTACCGTCAAGTGCTGGCATCTGTTGTCGAAAAATTTTTAAAAATTCGAATTTTTACAGGGAATCTATGAATTGATACTCTGGTGAACTTTAAAAAAAAATAGGGTATCTATGAATTGATACTCTGGTGAACTTTAAAAAAAAATAGGGTATCTATAAAAAGACACCATGGTCAACAAAGAGGTAATTACGTAATTAAACATTACTGTTATATCATTTCCACAAAAGAACAATAAAATTGCAAGCTTTTCCTGCAACCACCTTTACGGAATACCTGTAGTGATAAAAATTTCATGCACGAAATCAAAACAAATTATAATTTCCATTCATATTTTTAAAAACATTTTTATAATGTTACCAGTAAGCTTGTCAAGTATAGAAATAATATCATCTCCATTCCATTCAAGAATATTTTGTTGCGTTAGACGTAAAATATAAGCGAGATCTGTTAATTTTTTCCTAATTTTCAGGAATATTCTCTACGAATTCGAACCGTTGAATTCTATCTATAACAACATAGAATGTATAATTTAAAATGATTTACAGCTATAAATGTTAAACAGATTGTTTTTTTCAATTCCAACAGCGTAAGTATTTTGCAGTTACCTGAACATACAGGGCCATGTAATAAAAATAATAGTTTTGTTTGATGCGCAAGAGGACACTTTTGATAACCAAAAACTACCATATGTAGAATTCCAGCAATAATCTAAATAAAGAAAACGATAATGCATACGAGCATACGTTTCCTTTTCTGGATTGGAGCTTAAAGTTACAAAATCTTGGAAATTTTAATAAAATTCCACCTATTCAGGTCACAAATTTCAAATAGATGGAACGTCGAACACTCCAATATTCGAATGTATCAGGCGCAGAAGAGCTTATTTGAATTTAAAATCCTTTAGAATCGACCAATAGGATGCATCCAAGTGAAAAAATTGTAAAACGGTTTTTCATAATGGCGTATCAAACACGGCCTGCCACGCTTGTGAAATACGCATCTCTTCTTTAAAATTAATACATTTTCCTTCAAAATTTCTAGCGCTTTCATTACTTTAAGTCGGTCCGTGTTTGTCGTTGTTCTAATTAACGTAGCCTATTGTAAATCTGATTTAATACTATCCTCTCCCGCATTTATGGAAAGGGCAGTGGTTCGCCTGCCTTTATATCGGCTCCGTGCTCGGTTAAGCGCTTTTTAACGGACCTTACGGTCGAACCTATATAGATTATGCATTGTCTACGTAGACTTCTTTTAGTGATATTAGTTGCAAACTAATTTTTTCGTATGAGCCTACTTATTAGTCGTGCGAATAAACTATCAGTTAAGAAAGTTGTACAAATATTTTTAAAGGTCATTCCTTCAGTATTAGATGGATCTCGTGAACTATTGTATACGTAATTAAGGTGATTTGGTTCGTGAAAAGTACATTATCGTGCATAATAGGGAGGATTCAAAAATGGCTAAAACTTGTAAAAATATGCTAAAATGTAAGCGATTAAAATGGACGGTCTCTAATACAAAATATGCAGTTTTCTCCTTATAAATTTTTTCCATGTAAAATATTTAAAGACAATTCAACAAAGTAAGACGATTAAAGAAAAAAAATATATATATATATATATTTATTTATTTATTTATTTATTTAAGTTAAAATTCGTTTGTAATTTAAAAATTTTCCGAGTGTCTTATTTAACCAAACAACTCGATTCGTACAAGAAAACCCCGTGGGCCGATTGCAGAGACAAAGTTTAGAGGCCGACGGCGATTTACAGATCGGGTAGACAGCTGTTCAGAAAAATTTCATTGCAAAGACGGCGTTCCTCGCCTGCCACAATGTAGACAGCGATTAGAAACAAGTTATTTGACCTACTTTCTAGACTCACTGGACAGCAGGTTTAGAGGGCTTTTCAATTCGAGTGGTAGCTTTGTTCGTGGAAAAGTTTAGATTAAAACAGATAGCGTTCCTTCGATAAATGTTGTAAACGGTGCGAATCGACAAAATTATTCATTAATTAATTGCTCGGCGCAAAAACAACAAAATTAAATACTTTAAATTTGTTTTAAATGTTCCAATTTCGACATTCAAATGGGTGAAGACTTAAAACTTCAATTTAATTTAAATCAGATGCATTTATTTACAATTCGAGTATCGTGTCGGTTATAAAACGTTAATGCATTTCCGAGTCATTGTACTGTTAAACAAACGAGACAATTTTAATAATTACAGAAATCTGTTTATAGATATTTTAAAAAATGCAATATTAATAATAAAATATTTAAAATTATTCATTTCGACAGTAATAAGATGTCGAAATAATTCCTTAAAAATCTATTCCGAAGACGAATTTCGAATTCGGTATAAATTTTCTAAATATGGATTTGTTCATATTTTAAATCGTATTGGCGACGAAATTAAATATCGAAATGGAAAAGGATTGTCATTAATTGCCGAACAATGATTTTGACGGCCTTAAGCTTTCGGAATATAGCTGACGACCATTTCTGACGTCACGAAGAAATAACCCGATTGGCCGAACGACTCCTAAAACAGGGGAGTAATAGCGAAGTAAGTAAGAGCCAATGTTTTGCCGAAGTTCGTTTAGAGAACGGTCAGAAATAGACGATCGTCGTCTTTGCAATGCATTTTAAACTGCGGTTCAGCCAGCCAACGGTTATAGGCCGTTCGTTGATAAACATCGTTTAATGTAAACTCTGTCTCTGCAATAGGCCGCGTGAGTTGGAATTATCCGACATTTACATATTTCTGTAGAAAATCCAAATGCCACGTAACTGATGTAATTTATTAAGCAAACGGAATGCGACCACTTATACAGAACGTTAATTAATTAATTAATATAAACGAACGCATTAACATAGGCATCCACTTCGAATTTTGAAGTACCCGTATTTCGAACTAACCGAGTTCGAATTAACGACGATTTCCTGTATATAAACAATATTCCTGTAATATTATCACAATTAACTGTCTGCATATATAAATATTTATAATATATTTAACACTTAAAAATTTCAATTTTAAAAAAATCTTACAAACGAAGCAAGTAAATAATAGCATTCGAAGATCGACTTCTCAACTTTCTTATTGTCTAATTGGGTTCGATTTATGAATTTTAAAAAAAAATTAAATGATTATTAATGTCGCATGAAACTTTTTATATGTTATTATTTAATAACGAAATTTATGTTTTATTATAAAAATATTAAATTTTTATTTTGACCTCATTCGTAAATTATTATAGAAATATATTCGCGAATGTTTTAGAGGGCGCTATAACTATCAGATTCCATATTTACATAAGCTTGTTCTATTGGTTGAGATAGTGCACATTTTTCCGTAAACTTGACGTAATGTCAAAATCTCTGACGTGCGGGTGACGTCGAATTGACGTAAAATGTGCACCACTAAAGTCCTCTATAACGATTTTAGTGAACGTATTATCGTGTTTGTAAAATTCTTTAAACACTTCTTATTGAACATATTTAAAATCATTATTAACTTATTTTAACTTACATTACTTGTTAAATTAAAATATCAATTTGAGTAAAAGAAGTAATTTTTTAAATATCACCTCCATTAATATAACTACAGTATATTGTTATTCATGAATATCAGTTTACATTGAAGGCTAAATGATATTTGTGTGGCATTTCATGTCATTTAGACTTTAACTATTTTTAGTTTCCAGGCTGTTATATATAACAGGGAAAGTATGGCGATCGGTCAAAAAATGACCCCAAGATTTTTACATTTTTGGACTCAAGGTATCTCGAAACGTCGAGAAATCAAGAAAATTCGTGGGTAATTTCTGTATACAGTGGAACCCCGGTTAACGAACGTCCTGGTTAACGACCAAATCGGTTAACGNAATTGAACACGAAATCTTAGACAGCTTATAGCAGATTTCGCAAACATAAAGGCAAGAAGAGTTCAATTTCTATAGATAAATATTTATATGATTTTACACCTAAGTAAACAAAAATAATTTAGTAATAAAAATAAATAGTTTTTCTTTGTAAAGTATTTCTTTTCTTTTTTCACACCCTTATGAGACAACAGTAAAGAACCTTTCTCGCAAGCTCAGCGTAGGTAGTCGTAGTTAAACGGGGACGGCATAATCGGTATTGCACACGGGTTTAAACAGCTAGCGGCGCTTCTGACCATACCCTAAGTGAATAAAAATCGAGAAATTTCAGTTTTTGTATAAACGTTTGCAATATCAGTATAAAGAAGTAGCACGAATGTGAAGATTAATATGAAGCTTGTTTGTTTGTTTATTTATGGCAACGCAATACTTCCTAATAAATGCCCGTAATATTTTTGGATAATTTAAGAAAAGATAATATTGTCAACAATGAACCAGTATTTAAAGTTTTTTGTCCACCTGAATATTATTATTATTATGCGTAAAATGATGTTTTTGTCAAATTTTATTACAGAAATTCCTAAAGAACTACAAAGTGTTTTATTACTCAAAGTAATGTCAAAAACTATAGCATGTACACAGAATCCTATTCGAGGGCGGATAGCCGAGCGGTAAAGCTAACAGCCTACCACCTTGGGGACTCGGGATCGAATCCGGACAGGTCGAAGAATCTTGAAAGTTTTTCGGGGTGATGATCCCTTTGGATGTGTTGGTTCCCGCCTCTTACCATCTAGCCGCCCCATTTTGGGCCTGGCCGAACCAATAATGAGCTTGCTAAAAGAGGCCTCTTAGTAGTGGCCAAGTAGTCTTCGTACCTTAAACACTGGGAGTTCGGTCGTGGTTTGCGCCCAGCTCGGCCGGCTGGTCACATGTAGTTTTCCGAGTTTTCTTCACGTGTATAACGCCTAAAATACGGGCCAGTTTCCCTTAAAAAGACCTCCCGAAAGGCATCTCCTAGGCCCTAAGTGTTGCGTTGCCATAACTTAACCAATAACAACAACCCTCTTAGTGCCAACAGGGCGGAAACAGTTAAAAAAAGAATCCTACTTCACTAACTTTATTGCATTTAAAAAATCATGCAAGGTTGTGCTCAACTTTCCTGGCAACATATAACACATCTGTTATCATATTGTATTAGAAAACTTTTTATACAATAACTAAATCAACACCTGCTCACTCGCTGAGAGATTTATTCTTAACACAAACGTTTTCAATCCAATCAATTTCTTAACACAAACGTTTTCAATCCAAGAAATTGATTGGATTGAAAACGTTTGTGTTAAGAAATTGATTGGATTGAAAACGTTTGTGTTAAGAATAAATCTCTCAGCGAGTGAGCAGGTGTTGATTTAGTTATTGTATAAAAAGTTTTCTAATACAATATGATAACAGATGTGTTATATGTTGCCAGGAAAGTTGAGCACAACCTTGCATGATTTTTTAAATGCAATAAAGTTAGTGAAGTAGGATTCTTTTTTTAACTGTTTCCGCCCTGTTGGCACTAAGAGGGTTGTTGTTATTGGTTAAGTTATGGCAACGCAACACTTAGGGCCTAGGAGATGCCTTTCGGGAGGTCTTTTTAAGGGAAACTGGCCCGTATTTTAGGCGTTATACACGTGAAGAAAACTCGGAAAACTACATGTGACCAGCCGGCCGAGCTGGGCGCAAACCACGACCGAACTCCCAGTGTTTAAGGTACGAAGACTACTTGGCCACTACTAAGAGGCCTCTTTTAGCAAGCTCATTATTGGTTCGGCCAGGCCCAAAATGGGGCGGCTAGATGGTAAGAGGCGGGAACCAACACATCCAAAGGGATCATCACCCCGAAAAACTTTCAAGATTCTTCGACCTGTCCGGATTCGATCCCGAGTCCCCAAGGTGGTAGGCTGTTAGCTTTACCGCTCGGCTATCCGCCCTCGAATAGGATTCTGTGTACATGCTATAGTTTTTGACATTACTTTGAGTAATAAAACACTTTGTAGTTCTTTAGGAATTTCTGTAATAAAATTTGACAAAAACATCATTTTACGCATAATAATAATAATATTCAGGTGGACAAAAAACTTTAAATACTGGTTCATTGTTGACAATATTATCTTTTCTTAAATTATCCAAAAATATTACGGGCATTTATTAGGAAGTATTGCGTTGCCATAAATAAACAAACAAACAAGCTTCATATTAATCTTCACATTCGTGCTACTTCTTTATACTGATATTGCAAACGTTTATACAAAAACTGAAATTTCTCGATTTTTATTCACTTAGGGTATGGTCAGAAGCGCCGCTAGCTGTTTAAACCCGTGTGCAATACCGATTATGCCGTCCCCGTTTAACTACGACTACCTACGCTGAGCTTGCGAGAAAGGTTCTTTACTGTTGTCTCATAAGGGTGTGAAAAAAGAAAAGAAATACTTTACAAAGAAAAACTATTTATTTTTATTACTAAATTATTTTTGTTTACTTAGGTGTAAAATCATATAAATATTTATCTATAGAAATTGAACTCTTCTTGCCTTTATGTTTGCGAAATCTGCTATAAGCTGTCTAAGATTTCGTGTTCAATTGAAACTATAGCTAAATTACTTAGTCTTTGCTGGTGCATTGTTAACCATAAATAGTTTTTTTTTATAATTTTTAACTTTGAAAAGGACCTTCTATTGCTGTGTTTGGAAATGTTGAAATTAAGTCATTAGTAAAAAGATATTGTAATTGCCGCCCCCCTGGACGTGCCGCCCGCGTGCGGTGCACGCTTTGCACGCCCGCTTACGGAGGGCCTGGGTATGGTAGACTTGTATTGATGGTGTCGGCCAGCATCGCTAAAATACAGGAAATAATATTTCGTCCAGAATTACCCATAAATTTAAAAAGCGAATCTTTCTCGACATTACGAAAATATATTACCGCACACCCAGTCGGCTTATTACGCTATATAAATTATTTATCATTAAATACCCGTATAATAAATTTAAGCTATTAAATATACATCACACTACAAATTAATCACAAATTCTCAAATTATTTGGTTTACATCGATTCGGAACAGTATTTCCATCACCAGATCTCGTCGGACATTTTTTAAATTTAATCTTTTTCATAATTTTTTATAAATTCAATATTTATTAAATTAATTATTTTTTTAAACATTTAATAACAAATACAGTTATAAATAAAAGAATTTATATAAAATCAAAATAGCTATTTTTGGGCTATAATTTACAAGAAAATGTCAGCGTCCTCTGCCAGAGGGAAATTGAATTAAAAGTCTGCCAAGAGATTGTTTTATGACTTGATGTTTGATTAAAACAAATTTGAAAAGATTTTTTTCTTTTTTTGTAATATGGATATTTAATATATATTATACATATATATTTAAAAAATTTTATAATGTTATTCAACGAATATTTAATATCAAAATACAGAAAGTTAGGTTAAAAATTCGAAATATCATAAATTTACTGTTTACATGGCAACCAAAGTTAGTTCAATTCGTTCTGTAGACATTTTGATGTTTCTAGTTTGAAACATAATTTTATATATATTTTGATAATTATTTAAATGGTTACTCGTGTCCTTTCGCCTGATAAGTAAATCGTGATTTATAAAAATGGCTTGCAGTTAGCCGCTTTAATGTTAAGACAGAAGGTTGATGTTAGGCCCTGATGTCTGGTCCAAATGGAAACGAATCCGTTTGGAGATCAACTCATAGAAGACAAAGAAGTAACAGCGATCCTCAAGCAACAGCACAGGCTTTAGCACAACTTAAACATGAAGAAGGTGAGTTCTAATGTATTTTCTACATCATCTGTCAGATAATTACACCATACAACAACAACACTGAATTTTCTCATTTTGTAAACCACACAGTTCATTTAACTATGTTCAATGGTAATCAAGTGTAATTCGTGTATAACGTTACATAAATTTTATATTAAAATGACAGATATCGGTTTGAGGAACGTTGCAATGTTTACGTGAATAAATTATGTGTTTTGTCGAAGGATTCTTAACGTTTGACTTCGGCGTGTGTCGTCTAATGTAATCGAAATGAGGAGATATTTATAAAATTGTATTTTAAATATATACGTGTAACGACTTACTCTACAAAAATATTTTGACTTTTCTCATTTTTTAAATTTCAGAATGTTAAATGGTAATTAATTATAATTTCCATTTAATATTTAATAAATTTTACGTCATATTAACGTAACAGTTAATTTATGACAGATAGCTATGTAAGAAACCTGATGATGTTTTGAATAAATTACATGTAATGTTTAATAGAAAACATGTTGTTATTTCATATTTTAAAACTATATGAATGCTTTAATATAATTGAAGCATGAAGAAAAGAGTTATAAATTCTTATTTAAAGTATTATCTACAAAATAATTACTTGACAGAAACATTTTAAATTTCAGAATTTATTTCATTCAATTTACTTTAAATTAGGTATAATTCCATTTAGTATTTCATGAATTTTATGACAAATTAAGCTAATTATTAATTTATGATGGTTATTTGTTTTAAGAAATAAAATCCAGGTGTGCCAACCTCGCTGTTAAATGGGACTAAGGCCAAAGAAGAAGATTTGTTATAAGAAACTGTACAATGTTTACACAAATAAATTACATGCTTAATATCGAAACTATTATTATTTTAGGTTTAAAAATAGACGAATGCTTTAATTAATGTAATTCAAACATGAAGGAAATTAATTATAAAACCATGTTTCAAATGTATTCCACAAAAATATTATTTGAATTTTATCATCTTTAAACTTCAAAATTACCAGTAATTTCATTCATTTTACTTTTAATTATCTATAATTCTCATTTGGCATATAGTAAATTTGATAAAAAATTAAGCTAACAGTTAATGAATGGCAGACACAAGTTCAAGGAACTGTAATGTTTACATGAATAAATTATATATGATTTATTCATGTAAACATTACAGAAGTGAAATTGTTGTTTTTTTATATTTAAAAATTAGTTTAATGCTTGAATATAGATTAAAATTTAATTATTTTATTTACTAAAATAATATTTTCTAATTACTTAATTAAATAAAGTACATTTGAATGATTAAATATTACTGAAAAGATTCAGGTTTGCTTATGTTTATGCTGATTACCAAAAAAAATAAGTAATTTTTAGAAAGATTTTAATTAATTATAATTAAAAGTAAAGGTATCCTTTTGAATATTCTGCAAGAATATTGGAGGCAGTAAATGTATAGATCTATTAGAGGTTGCGGCCGATATTTTCAATGTAAAAACGTGTACGTTGGACGTTCAGCACCACCTTCCTGTGAGCCTAGAAGTTTAACAATGGCATTTGGAATGTCGGTAGAATCACGCTCGATGTTCCAAATGCCATTGTCAAACTTCTAGGCTTACAGGAAGGTGGCACTCAATGTCTGATGTACACGTTTTTGCATTGAAAACGTCGGCCGCAACCTCTCTATTAATTTGTAACTGATAGCATTGGTAAGACATGTAATTAGCATGATTTTTATAATGTTTACTTCTAAAGTATTCTATAGATATTTATTGAATTGGAGGCTGAATTGGTCTAGTGCTGGTTTGGGAACATACACTATTAGATATGGTTCATAGTTTATATTGAGATGCACTATTAGGGATTTTCAGTGATAGCCAACAATATATTGTTTAATACTTGTTCTTATTAAATGTGTTTATAATNTTCAGAATAAACATTCAAATTTACAAAAATTTTTAAATTATATCAATTTACATAAAGCAAATATACTTTGAAAAAACTGAATATTTTTGAAAAAGTCTGTTCTTTAATATCCTCAAAAGGTTAGATTAGAAAAAAATTGAGTATTATGTCTTATAATAATCAAAACTTCTTTTTATAAAATTAAAGAACAAGCTACATAACTTAATTGAACATTATACTCAATCTCAAAGTTGGCACACTTAAGTTGATGAAGTCTTTGGATTTAAAATTCCATCATCAAAACTGGTAAATATGACTAAAACAGAAATTGAAATCATCATTTAAAAAGTTAACGTTATTTGAAATAATTTCTTATTCATTAAACACTATCAAATCATTATAAAATGAAATATATTATACTCACACATTAATACTAAAGTGGAAGTATAGATCCAAACCTTTGCAGAATCTTCTGTTCATCAAATGCATCTCCAAGGAGGACACATTTGATTAATAAAAGGTTCTACAAAGAACATTTTTAAAAAACAGAAGGTCCTAACAGAACATTTAAAAAAAATGCAATGTTTATGTTCGATCTAAAGAAGATCCAGCTGAAGAATTAGAATCATTAGTTGTTATCAAGGTAATAAGCTACTGGAGAATTATTTAAAAGGTTCTACAAAGAAGGTTTGCAAGCTAAAAAGGAATATAATTTAACTTTTGAATTTCATTCAGAATTCTTAAACTTGATAGTATGATATAAACAAAAATTTTAATTTTAAAAATTTGGTACAAACAAAATGAACTGAATCCATCATTTTAAATGCATAACTTTTGACATAGTCTTTTCTTTAATCGCTAGTACTTTCGACGAACATATAGTCGTCATTTTTCTTTTCTTTAATCGCTAGTACTTTCGACGAACATATAGTCGTCATGACGACTATATGTTCGTCGAAAGTACTAGCGATTAAAGAAAAGAAAAATGACGACTATATGTTCGTCGAAAGTACTAGCGATTAAAGAAAAGACTATGTCAAAAGTTATGCATTTAAAATGATGGATTCAGTTCATTTTGTTTGTACCAAATTTTTAAAATTAAAATTTTTGTTTATATCATACTATCAAGTTTAAGAATTCTGAATGAAATTCAAAAGTTAAATTATATTCCTTTTTAGCTTGCAAACCTTCTTTGTAGAACCTTTTAAATAATTCTCCAGTAGCTTATTACCTTGATAACAACTAATGATTCTAATTCTTCAGCTGGATCTTCTTTAGATCGAACATAAACATTGCATTTTTTTTAAATGTTCTGTTAGGACCTTCTGTTTTTTAAAAATGTTCTTTGTAGAACCTTTTATTAATCAAATGTGTCCTCCTTGGAGATGCATTTGATGAACAGAAGATTCTGCAAAGGTTTGGATCTATACTTCCACTTTAGTATTAATGTGTGAGTATAATATATTTCATTTTATAATGATTTGATAGTGTTTAATGAATAAGAAATTATTTCAAATAACGTTAACTTTTTAAATGATGATTTCAATTTCTGTTTTAGTCATATTTACCAGTTTTGATGATGGAATTTTAAATCCAAAGACTTCATCAACTTAAGTGTGCCAACTTTGAGATTGAGTATAATGTTCAATTAAGTTATGTAGCTTGTTCTTTAATTTTATAAAAAGAAGTTTTGATTATTATAAGACATAATACTCAATTTTTTTCTAATCTAACCTTTTGAGGATATTAAAGAACAGACTTTTTCAAAAATATTCAGTTTTTTCAAAGTATATTTGCTTTATGTAAATTGATATAATTTAAAAATTTTTGTAAATTTGAATGTTTATTCTGAATATTTAGTTTATTTCAAATTAATTAGAATTAAAAGATACAATAGATTCTTCCTTTTTTTACTTTGATGGTCAAACTTGCATCCAAAAAAGGGGTGTACCAATGGGCATCCCAGTCTCTGGAGATCTGTGCGAACTTGTCGTACAAAAATTAGAAGAAAAGGTCTTACTAAGCTTATGATCCAATATCCTTAGCTACATGCGGTACATGGATGATATTTTGATTATATGGAAAACCAAACCTGATATAGAGAAAGTGTTAGAAGCCTTTAACAACAATGCCTACGGCTTAACACTAAAGTTAGACCAGGAAAGTCGCACAGAGGTTAACTACTTAGATGTCCAGATTAATATGGCGAATAAAAATATAACCACGACCATTTACCGCAAACCAACATACTGTCCTCTCTTTATACCTGCTAACTCAGCAGACTCTTGGCCTTTTAAGGTATCAGCGTTTCAGGCCCTAGTCTCAAGGGCTTATTCCCACTGCTCTGAAACTTCCGATATCTACAGAGAACTGAAACACGTCAAACGTATAGCATCGGCACATGGGTACCACCAGTCTTTAATAGACAGGCTAACTGCCAACCAGCAATCTACAATAACTACCACAACATATGGGTTAATAATACACAGCAGAACTGGGTGGTTTTATCTTATGAACCGTCCCTTCAACAAATTTTTAGTAAAATTGCTAAGGAGTTGAACATGCGCTTAACATATAAGAGAAAACAGAATATTTTCTGACTTTTATCTAATGCTAAGGACAAGTCCGATGATAAGAAAGCGCCAGGGGTGTACCGCATACCTTTGAATGATGAACGTTTCAATCGTCGGATAACATACATTGGATCTACATACAAATCCCTTGAAGCTAGAGTACGGGACCACAAATATGATGTGTCGAAGCAGAAGTATAGTACTGCTCTGGCCCAGTATGCTACCGAACCCGGGGTTTCCCCATGTTGGGATGAGGCTACTCTTTTGCATAAGGCCTTCAACTGACACGAATTACGCTCGTTGGAGGCTATTGAGATTTATATAGAAACCATGAAGGGAAACTGCATTAACTCCGATTATATTCTGATTCCACAATCGTGGAAGTATTATTTACATTGCCACAAAGCACAACAATAATTGTATGTGTAATTATTTTTCATCTTTCTGCTTTCTAAAAGAAAACAATTCGTTTACATCGTGCTAATTTTTACAACGCTATAATAATAATTTATGTATA